CTTACTAGGACATACTTAGCTCTAGATTTTCTTGCTGGGCTCTTGGCTATGACTTCAGAATTCTTTACCTGAGCATAGGCTATTTGCCCTGTCCTTAGTGTCCTTCAATACCTTCCTGTGCCCATTGTGTCTGTCCTTCTTGTTCTGTTACTGGCTAGAGCCACCCTTAGTTCTGGCAACTCTGTTTCGGATGCATCTGTCTCAGACTGTCCCGGTTCTGGCTGCTCCCTCTGTGCTACAGCTGTCTTGTTTCACCCTTTTATTATGGCTAGTTGTCCCTCATGTTATTCTCTCTCTCTCTTTCTCTGTTGCTGCAGCTCCTCAGGGCGACATTTCCTGCTGAAAGGTATTTCTGGTGCAGAAATGCCACCACTCTTTCTGCTTTGATGTAAAAATCCCTCAAATCCTCTCTAGTGTTCAGCAAACTATATTTCCTATAGTGTTTGGGGTATAATCACATGTTCTTCAATTTTGGGGAGGATACCTTACTTCCAGCTGCATGAGAGAGAGCCATTCTCTGGTGTAACACAAGAGTTTTACAAGAAGGCCTGAATGGATTTTTCTGTTAATATTACTTATGAATAAGCCATTATGACTTTTTGTTCCTCTACATGGGTACTTATGGCTCTAGTGGGAGGGGACACACACACATTTTAAGAATCACTAGCACAATGCTTTTGAAATATTCAAACATCATTATCAACATTTCAAGTGGAAACACTGTATTTCATAGCACTACAGTATTTGTTTCACCCTGCTTCTGGGCTTAAGTAAATAAATGTCTTCAGAGCTTAATGTTCTTCGCATGTGCAACCACAGAGGACAAAAAAGTGGAAATGAAGAATATATTCAGCTCCAAGGCATTTAAATAGCATAATTTTAATGTTTATCTCTAAGATGCATAAAGGAAAGAGAGAAAGAAGGGCAGGCTCTAAAGTTGCAGATGTTAGCTCTTTGTCAAGACAGTGTTTGAGAGAGCTGGACGGTTTTAATTGTATCTAACAAATCTATACAATAGTAATAATAAAGATAAAGACATTTACTGGTTGTCTTTTTGTTAAAGAAAAATTAAAGAGCAAGTTTTGTCATTTTGTTTCTGAGAAAAAGATTGTGAAGAGAAGAAAGAAGGGGGAAATCCACAAGGCTAACCAGAGGCCATCGGGACTACAAAGTGGAAATTTAAAAAACCCAAGAAATTGCTTAAAAAATTCCCTCCATACAGAAAATATACTTTTGTGTAGCAATGAGCCAGTAAAAAGGAGAGGTTTTTTTTAAAAAAAATGTCAGTAAAGTCCTGTTTTTTTCTCTTTGAGGGTCCAATCCAAATCCCATTGAAGTCAATGGAAAGAATCCCAAAGAATGTTGGGATGAGGCATTAAATTAAAAAATGCCAGCAAGTGGCAAAATATCCACAAAAGAAATATCAGTCATGGTATCCCTTCCCGGTACGCATTGGAATTATCCAATGCCTCATTTTGCAAGCAGGACCAGAAGGCATTTGATTGTATTATCTCAAAGTACCTGCTAAAAGCCATGGGCAAGGCACAATGGGCAAAAATAAAAGATGAGCAGCAGCAATGAGAGAGATAGTGACTAGGGTACATTTTCCTCCAGATTTACAATCTAAGAATAATTTTTGACATATAATTTATCATAATATTTATACTGACAGACAGTAGAGAGAAAGATGGAAATGAAAATGCTGCCTATTCTTCTAAGTGGCATGTTATTCTGTCTCCTCGCTAGTTAAACTGGTGAACAGTATTTGCACAGAATGCTACAAAGATATATGGGAATGAATAAGGAACACAGGGACATAAAAATTGCCACATCCAGTTTATTATCCTGCCTCCAATAGTAAACAGATGCTTATGAGGAAAGTGCAAGAAACCCCGAAGTGGGCAGTTATGGAATAATTTGTCCGGAGGGGACGTTTCTTCCTAGTTTGCATTAATTAGGGGTTGATTATATCTGAAATATAGGGATATGTATACTCTTGTTTTGTTTTTTAGTCCTCCGCACCTAAAACAGGTCTTCTCTGAGACCAATCCAAAGAAGCCGCTAAACTCGTGTTTCATTTTAAGCATAATCCGCTTGATGTCACTACTCACATGCTTAAAGTGCTTTGCTGGATTGGATCAGAGTGCTCAGCATCTTGCAGGAGCAAGCCCTGTATGCAACACTTGAGGGACAACTAGGATTCTGGGACATCTGGAAAACCACCAGAGGAACTCAGCTGAGAGGCTGGCAGATCCACTGGCCTTTGCAACTGTTACAGTTAAAAAAAGGAACCTTTAGAATGTGATAATCTCTATACAATATACAGAATATGTTCTAATCCCCTGAGAAAGCACTATGATCCTATAATGTTGGATCTGCACAAAATAACTAATAATTTACTGATGTGTCTTAGTGTCCCATATGTCATTTCAATGCAAATTAAAATTACTTAATGTTTGTAAAGTGCTTTTACGATGAAAAAGTAAGTGCTAAGTATTATATTAACGTAACTATTATCCTAATAATTGGACAAAAATAAACATTATGAGATATTTTGGATACAGATCTGAGATGACCTTTAGAACCTTTTGAGGTTGAGACATCATTAGCAAACACATGGTGGGTAGATCATTTAAATGAAAAGAATACTTCAGCATGCTGCAAGGTGCTAGCCATTATGGTTTAATTCATCTATGGTAATTTTCAAAAACCTCTAAATAACTTACAAGTCTAAATATCATTTTCAAGGATACTGAAAAGGATACTTAGGACCCTGAGTCATATCAGCACTTTTGAAAATATGACCCTGATTATTTGATTTTTGTGTATTATGTCATATTATAGATATCTCTTTTTTATCCATTAGGTCCTACACACTCAAGATCCTCCACCCTATAAGGCTATTGACGGCAGAGGGCTAAAGTGAGGCCAGACCTTTCTGCTGAGTGGGAGTAGCTAATGGATGAAAGAGTGTGTTTCCCCCTTGCTTAACACAGTATGAGTGCAAGATGATATGTAAACACCCTGGAATACAGGGTACTTTGGCTGCTCAGCAGGAGGCATAGGGCCATACTGCTGCTGTGCAGTCAGAGTCTGATGTCATGCACCTAGTGATGCAGAGGAAAAGGGGGCTATAGAAAATGAGAGCATCAGTGAGGTGACTTCCTTGGTTGAATCTCCAGTAGAAGGTTCCTCTCCTATTGCTCAAAAGAAGAATAAACATTTGACCAGAATATGAACTGGCTGCAAAACCCACATTCTTTACAATTTGTCTAAGATCATATTTTCCATACAAATGTTCTGCTTGCAAAGCACCTATTAAATTGTAACATGTAAATGAATTACAAGAACTGATAACTATGTGATTTATTCAAAACAATATAGCTTCTGTATTAATTGATCTGATGGTACACTACCAAAATATACTTCCTCTATATGGCTACTTAATACATAGAATTTGGAGACTGGGTGAAAAAGACTTTTTTATTTTATTTACAAATCCTTGGAAGTGTTATTTCCACTTCGTACTTTGCTATTTCATGGTTGTAAGTCTCTACCTTCATTTGATGTGGGATTGAAAATGGATTAGAGATGTAAGCTAAATGGACTTGTTATATATCTTCAGTAATTCATACCTAAACTAAAGAGCTTATCTGATTTTTTTAATTAAAACTGTTTTTGTTTTGTGTACCTCATCTAATATCACTAAGGGGAAACATCATTTGTTATCAAGATACGGAAACAGGATTTGAACTTCGTCAAAGTCTTTTAACGAGATATAGGAGAATCAGTGACGTATACATTGTTTACTGTTATATTAAAGATATTCAGAGAAAAAATCAGTCCTTAGCTCTTGGGTGCAACCCCCCACTGAAGTCAACAGAAACTATGTCTATGTAACTGAGGGGAAATTTTCCCAGTTGCTTTGTATTGCATTAAATGATGTACCAAAATATGCTCTCTTAAAAGTACAGTAAAAATCAAACTGTAAAACCAAAAAGGTGATAGCCCTGAAATGTTCTATTCCAATAGTCAGATACAAGGGATGATCATGCCCCAGGTAAAACTCAAAAGGCGGTGGCTTGGTTCAGTTGCAGAAAATAGATCAGGATACCAATAGCATATTAACCCCCTGCTTGCTGCAGAGCTGCTCTCTGCAGGCCTCTGTCCATGGAAGCACTTAGGATTGTTCTGTGAGCAGTGGCAGGGCAGTGGAGGGAGAGGGCTGTGACAAGTAGATCCAGGACTACACAAGTCCTCTAGCCACAGAGGTTGCTGAAACTCTGAGGCTGTAATAGCAGCTATGGATTGGCTCCAGAGTCTGGGGAAAGGGAAGACTCCACTCCTCACAGAGCATCCCTGAGTAAAGCCTGTTTACATGGGCTCCCAGGGCAGATGATCTGGGCTACTGTGCCAATTCTATTTCCAATGCCCAAAGTGCCAATTGAATGCCATTTCTGGCATACAGAACCCTCTCTCTATCTCCTTTCCAAACATAAAGACAGTCCCTGATTTCAGTACATATTTTCTCATCATTCCATACATGCCAGTTTCCTTCTTCTCAACTGCAAGCTTTCACACTGAGATTTCTTTAACTAAAAAAATGCAAAGTTTTCCCATAAGTAAAACAATAAAACCATCCCACTTTATTTCAATGTGAATTGGAGACACCTTAAGAGTTTTCTCTAGATTCCCACCAGGGCAGGGACTGAGCCTCTCTCTGCACTTTTAAAACACCTAGCACAATTTGGACTCTGCAACAATCTAAGTAATATATATAATAATAGTTTTGTATTGCAGCACTCCGAAAACTCACAGCTTTATTTATATAATTTGCTAACAATGAAGGTGTTGAACCTGTAAACCCCAAAATATCCCACACTATTTTTGGTTTCCTATCTAGTAATTTCTGCGGTGTGTGCCTTTTTCCAAGAGTGCATAAACTTTACAAATGTAACATGTTCTCCTAACACAACTACTGAAATATCCACTATTCCCACCTTTTTATAGGCGATCCAGTCAAACACCCTGTCAATGTCTGTGGCTCGCTGCACCTCCTGTGAGACTGGATGTGAACTGGCCAAGCCGTCGAGCAGCATTACTTCATGTAGGACATCTGTCAGAAATCTCTGCTTTTCCTGAAATACAGTACATGCAATAATATCATGGACAGCTGCACATTTACAACTATATGGAAATGATGAACATCAATCAGAGACTCACAGGCTCAGCAGCCTTCCTTACTAGGACCTGTTAAAGTAAGTCTGTATGGTCTGGTTGTCATTCATAGTAACCCCTACTAGTTCCTGAATTAAAACCAACTGGAATCAGTTTTAATTGTGTGTACTGTGGAACCCACTGATTTGTGATTTTGGTTGTGGTGAAAGTCTATTTGACAGAAATTAAAATAAAGACCATTAAATTATTTTAAAAGCATGCAAAAGTGTAAATGCCAATTCAGACAAAAGTGATATTCTACTTACAGTGAAGTTATTGGGGTAAAAAAGAAGTTTTCAATCATAAAAATAAATGGCTATTAAGACTTGCAGAGTTCTTCTTATCCATAGACCTCAAAATGCTTCACAAAGGTGGGTAAAAATAATTATAACCACTTTACAGATGAAGAATTTGAGGCACAGAGAGGTGAAGTGACTTGTTCAAGTTCACACTACAAACTGTACATTTAATCTGTAAAGCTCCAAGTACTCTACAGACTTCACCTACTTAATCCTCACAACATCTTTATGAAGACAAGAAGTATTATTAGCCCAGTTTTACATGCGGGGAAACTGACACAAAAAAATTAAATGACTTGTTTAAGGTTAGAAAGCAAGTCAATGACAGGTGAACATCCAATTAATATCCAGTGTATGAATTTGTTTTCATCTCCACCATAAATATATATTATAAATATATGTCAGAACCACTGCAGATTTAAACTGGCAGTAAAGTTTACTAAATGCCCATGTAGAAGTACACGTGGACTATGAGCACTCTCTTTCATGGTTCAGTTGGGGACACTTTCTTCAACTGAGGAATTTAATGCCCTTAAAGTTATATTAGTGTTGATGCCTCTGTTCCACAACCTTTTGTCAGCAAAGGAAGCAGCTCCATCTGCTCAGGTTTTCAAGCCAGGTATAAATGAGAAAGGTGATTTAAAAATTATTGTTAATTACAGTTTAAATATTGTTTTTTCTGAAATGATATATTTTAATGTTTATCTCTATTACAAAAGTTGTTGAACTGATGTTGACCTCGTGGCATAATCTTAGGGATCTCCTGGGAGCGTGGCATTTTTAAAGAGTCACTTTGATATACACAGATAAAATAACCACATGATTACATAATGGATTCTGAGCTTAATTTCATGTGTAGAAAGGTTTTGGTACCAGTGTGTTAATTTAAATTATAAGACAGCTGAAAAGCTGTTCCAATGCAAATCCATCTGGAAATAAACCTTTATGTTAAAATTCATCAAGGTACAAGAAATGTACCTTGAGCTGATTATATATTCAAGCAATTAAAAACATTGGATGCAAGAAAACCAATTACCCAATACATACTTAGTGTTTCAGCTAGCCATATTAGGTAGAGTTTATGAAAGGAAATGTAATATCTTGTTCACATTATCTTTCATTTTAGAATTTCTAGAGTAATAAACAGTTAGGTGCTGGTCCCTTTATAAACAGAAAAACTCAACACCATCTCAGAAGGGCGAGAAGGGATGAAATTCAGTCGAATTCAGGAGAAAACAGTTAAAGTGCAGGAATCATAAACCTCTTGGTCACACCCGGCTCACTTTCAGGCAATACTGGATTCCCTGCCTGTTGGTCAACAGCGGGATTTTTTAGTTTATGCAGATTGAACACATTTCCAAAGTTCAGTTTGGAAATCATGATTACCAAAGATTTGCTCAGGTGGGTTTTGAACATGTAGAATTTGGTATGAATTCATTAAGAAGTGACAGGGTGTCAGTCACATGATTAGTTTATAACAACCTTGAATCAAGTAGATAAGCAGGTAGCAATCTAGGAAATTTTAAGGTGAGGTTATAACAAGATGAAGAAAAGGTGTAAAAAGGAAATGTTATGTTTGTTTCTTTGTTTCTTAGCTCACATCTTGATAAGCCAAAAAGGTGTAGTTTTGAATCCTGTCAGTCAGAATTAAAGCAGACTAACATTGCTGAGGCATGTTAGCTGGCTGTGTTATAACCTAGGCTCAAACAGGGACACAAGCCAGACATCTAACGTGCTTTCAGACATGTTAGCCTGCATCTTAATAAGCGTTAAGAGGGCTTTTCAATGACTCTTGACATTCTTCAAAACAAAAAACAAGTATACAATATATTTTAGGGTTGGCAAGTGGGAATGCAGACTGAGGAGGCAACAGGAAACTGAAATGGAACAAGTGGTATGAACTGGAATCAGCTTAATTACCATGTTACTTTAACATTATAGCCCCTATTAGATAAAGTTATGTTAGTGTTGTACCTAGCTGTGAGTAACCTTGAATGCAACAAAATCATTAATACTACATTTTGGAGAAAAGGGGACTTTCCTTTCCCCTGCAGTGTGTCAAATAAGATAGTATTAGTCTGTTTCAACATGACATCTATAGGACCATGGAAGCAGCTAACAGGCACTGTGGAGAACCAAGCAGAAAATCAACGTGTTATAAGGTCAGTGAGCTATGAATGTGGTAGGTGAGAGGGCTAAGGCTTAACATGAAACAGTTACAAAATATAGTTTAAGATTACTCTCTTCTGAGAACGTTCAACTGGAATAAAAAATACTGCACTCAAATTCTCATTGCCTGTGAACCCTGTACAGAAAAAGAAAGTGGAATTCTGCACGCTGCCAAGAATGCAGAGTTTTCCTCAGATCACCTAGTCTCTGTTTGTAGCATGACTCTGTGCAAATATGCTGCAAAGGCAACTGGAGCTATGCATGGAAAGTGTTAGTTACCCTATATGAGGGCAGGGCTGCATGGTAGAACAGGGATGACAGCAGACAGCAGAAACCTGGAAGAGGGTTAGAACTCTACAGGGCCAGTATCAGGACATCAGAAGGTTGCTGAAATAAGTGGAGTACTGTCACTGTATTCTACACCTTTCTCCAAAGCCAGACAAAAACCAAGTAAGTGATTCTTGATTCCTTCTTCCGTCACCACAAATGCACAGTCTCCACCAATCCAAACCTGATGCTCCTCCTCACCACCTTTCCTGTCTGCTATGAGAGGAACAGGATGCAAAGTCAAACTGCTTGAACGATGGATGGCAAGAGTCTGGAATCCCAGGCCCTCCCTGCTTGTGAAGAAAAAAATGGAGTACTAACTGCATTGCTTCAGCGACCTCCTACTGCATCCCTCTCATTCTTCACCAGCTCCTGCACCAGCATCCAGTCATGCTCTGAGCAGGCAGGGGTCCGAAGGAAAAAAAGATGGTGTTAAGGAGATGAATGTGCCAGCAGCTTTGCTTTTAATTTCAGTTACATCAACTCATTTATTTTCAAGGTCTATTCAGATTCTTACATTGACATCCATCATCATATCATCTAAGTGAATTTATCTTCATGGAGATAGTTCCTTTTAATTCTGATCAGCAAGTTCCTCCAATTTTACCTCTTTGATCTTATCCTTGGCTGCTTTCCCCTAAGCTCTGTGCTCTTCTTTCCTTGATGACCATGCCCATTTTTGCAAATGCACAGTGTGCAAAATGGGTTGTTGGCAGAGTTTAGACTCTGTTGCCTGGAGTGCCAGCAGCATGACTGTGAATGAAATGAGCCTCGTGGATAGTAGGGTCTACACATTATCTGCCTATAAAGATACTTCTCCAGAGTATTTCTGTCTGTGAAATTTTGCCATTCACTTGGATTTCTAGTATAGACTTTGGACTGTAAAAGCAATTGCCTTTTAGTAGTCTTCTTCGTGTATAAGATGCTACATCTTAAACAGTAAGAAAATGTGAAATTATATTCCTTGAACAGAAAGGGCTGCAGCAGCAGTCAAAAAAGTTAACAGAATGTTGGGAATGATTAGGAATGAGATAGATTATAAGAAAGAAAATATCACATTGCCTCTATATAAATCCCATGGTACGACCACATCTTGAATAATGTGTGCAGACCTGGTTGCCCCATCTCAAAAAAGATATATTAAAATTGGAAAAGGCACAGGAAAGGGCAACAAAATGATTAGGGGTATGGAACAGCTTCCATATGAGGAGAGATTAATATGACTGGGACTTTTCAGCTTGGAAAAGAGATGACTAAGGGGGGGATATTATAGAGGTCTATAAAATCATGACTGGTGTGGCGAAAGTAAATAAGGAAGTGTTATTTACTCCTTCACATAACACAAGAACTAGGGGTCACCAAATGAAATTAATGGGCAGCGGGTTTAAAACAAACAAAAAGGAAGTATTTCTTCACACAACGCACAATCAACCTGTGGAATTCTTAGCCAGAGGATGTTGCGAAGGCCAAGACTAAGGCTAGGTCTACACTACCCGCCTGAATCGGCGGGTAGAAATCGATCTCTCGGGGATCGAATTATCGCGTCTCGTCGGGACGCGACAATCGATCCCTGAATCGACGCTCTTACTCCACCAGCGGAGGTGGGAGTAAGCGCTGTTGACGGAGAGCCATGGAGGTCAATTTTGCCGCAGTCCTCACAGCGGGGTAAGTCGGCTCCGATACGTCGAATTCAGATACGCTATTCGCGTAGCTGAATTTGCGTATCTTAAATCGACCCCCCCCGTAGTGAAGACCTGCCCTAAAACAGGGTTCAAAAAAGAACTAGATAAGTTTATAAAGGATAGGTCCATTAATGGCTATTAGCCAGGATGGGCGGGGATGGTGTTCCTAACCTCTGTTTACCAGAAGCTGGAAATGGGTGACAGGGGATGGATCACTTGATGATTACCTGTTCTGTTCATTCCCTCTGAAGCACCTGGTATTGGCCACTATCGGAAGACAGGATACTGGACTAAATTGACCTTTGGGCTGGCTCAGTATGGCTGTTCTTATGTTCTTTATGTTCCTTATGTAAAGGGGTACTCCTTTGAGAACTGCATAAAAGCTGAATCAAAGTCCTGTGCATACAGGATAAGGATGATGTAATGAAGGAGGGCTGTTGCTGC